TTTACTTGAACAACAGGCACTTTAATCAAATCTGTCGAAACAGAGGACTTGAAGAAACATATGGCTTTATGTGTCCTCAAAGGGTGCAGAAAGAATTTAATATTGTGGAAGCAAGGTCAATCTACATTATGACCACAATGACTCAGACCAGAAAGCCAATATATTTTGCACCTTACGTGGAAGGGTAAGTGTATTATTGTATTTGAGATATACAAGTTGTATGTGTCGGGTTATAATTAACATGGTTTGCCTTTTGCAGTTATCATTGGACTCTAATTGTTTGTGCCCTTTTTGACAATAAAGTTTATTGGTTCGATTCACTCTGTGGAAGTCCATTAGAAGAAACCAAAGATGTCATCGACACGTTAGTTTTTATTTATATATTTATTACTTGTGGAGTTTATAAAAGCATGCTCTAATATCATTTTCTCTTATACTATTGATAGGGCTTTTCATACTTCTAATGTTATGGTGATTAAACAAAATAGACAAGCACCAACATGGATTCTTCCAAAGGTATATGTTGTTTTGAACTAACTTTTAAACATTTTTGGATGAATTAAAGTTAATGTTTATAATCAATAATGTCTAATATTAAATTTTATATCTTATTTTTTTAGTATCGTTGTCAACAAGGACAGGTTGAGTGTGGATATTATGTCATCCGCTACATGAATGACATAATTGAGACAGGAACGACTGAGAAATTAGACGAGGTAAAGATGAGTTACGTTGCATAACGTTCTTCAATTTATTTCACATTTTTGACTAAGTTTACTATGTTATTTTTGATTAACAGATATTTCAAAATACTGCTCCATATCTCATGGAGGACATCAACTTGATGAGGGACACTTTGTCAACAACATTGGTACAAACTATTGAAATTTAGCTTTCAAATAGTTAGGTCATTTCTCAAAAAATTCATTGTTAGATGTTTTCTCTCGGTTCCCTCTTATATGTACATGTTCATGATTTCTATTGTACAGAGAAGTAGTTACTTCTATTTCAGAATTGTTGGTCCTAGCCAATACGTGTTCCCTGGTCTTAATTAACCCCTTAGTTCTATTGGTCGGTTTTCCTATTTCGCATTGTGTAAAAGAAATTTCAATGCTGTATATAGATTAACTAGCTAATTGATCTTGTTCTGCGTATTCTGCACTGCCTACATTTATTTGGAACTGTAAACTGCAGGGTGGTAAAATCAAAAATCAAGCAGAATTTTTAAAAATTTTTTTTTTAACGACAGTTATATTTATAACCGCCGTTAAAAGTGTTTTCCATGGCGGTTAAGACAAAAAACCGCCGTTGAAAGTTAAATTTCAACGGCGATTTTTTGTTTAACCGCCGTGGAAATATTAATTTCCACGGCAGTTTACTAAGAACCGTCGTGGAAAATTGAGTTTCCACGGCGGTTAAATAAAAAACCGCAGTGGAAAATCAATTTTCCACGACGGTTCTAAACCGTCGTGTTTTCTTTACTTTTCAACGTTGACTTTATCAATTTCGTCTTCAAAACCGCCGCGAAAAGCCACTATTAACCGTCGTGAAAAGCCTTTTTTCTGGTAGTGATTATTTCTGACAAACATGTTTAGAGATGTGTTGAGCGACATTTCATTTTAGTTTTTTCCTATATTAATTTAGATTCACGCGTGTGGTTTGTATGAGCGTGTAGTAACAAAGGTAATCAATATATATATATATATATATATATATATGGAGAGATAGAGAGAAAGAGAGAGCAAGACCTACTTTTTAGAAAACAGAAGTTAAAACAATAATGGAACACTTATTGGGATCTCTTCACAATAAAAAAAATAGTTTGGTTCGCTTATAGTTAAAACATAATTACATTGCTATTAGTCCTATTTTTTCTCATTCATTTCCTAATATCACAATCACTATAGATTTGAATGAATTTTACTGATGATTTTGATACTAATATTATGATTATTAATTTTAGTTATTAAAGAATCATAAAGATTAAAATTCTTAATCTTGTTGTACTTGTTATTGTTACAATCAAACTATTGTTATATTTTCTTATATTTTGTTATTAACTATTATTAATTAATATTTTTGTATTTTGTTATTTTTAATTAAATTATATTATTTTAATATGATCAATTTGATCCCGAGTTGACCCTAATCTGACTCACAAATCTTTGAGCCACGATCCTGAGTTGACTCTGGTGTGACTCACTAATCCAGAGTTTAGCGCCTAGTCCAGTGTTTTGTTCCCTCCCTATAACTCACACGCATGAGAAACACTATATCTATTCGTTGATGATATCCCCATAATATTATATTGTTTCCAAATTTTTTCTTATTTAATAACTTTTGAAACGCTTAATGCTTAAGATCGATCATTGATATTGTTACGGCCTTACACGCATTTTAGGTGAATAAATATTATCGATAAATATATTTAATAAAATATAGACGAAGTACATATTTTCAATCAAATGTTGCTATATATACCCAATAAAAATATTTCAATTAAGGTAGTAAGTAATGTTTTCAACATTTTAAGGTTTTATATATATATATATATATATATATTGCATTTTTATATATGTGTGTCCTAATGTACACAACATGTATATTTATCTAATTAATTTCTTACATTATATATGCAGGGCTATTCCACGAGAAGAAGGCTTTCAAGAACTCATTATAATATTAGGCGCTGTTGTTGGATGGCACTTCCCAAATGTATCACCTTTTCATGAGCATTCAACAATTCTATGGATATGTATAATATGCGTATGCATCTATGTCTTTACATCAGATGTTATCTCAGGTTCTGGTGCCTGTGTGGCACTAATATCACTGCCACTTCGACATGATCTTAAGTTACATCTCTTCATCGCCTATGGGACATCATTGGTCATGTACTTGGGCCATAAACAGTTATGAGATATGTGGAAGAGGGCAGTATCATATTTGAAGACCAAGTGGAATGCAATTACTGAAGACAACCATGATTCTGCAAACACCACACAAGTCTAAACTCTATGGTCCCATTTGATATGAAGCATTAAAATAAGGGATAGGGACTAGGATTGCAATTAAAAAAAATTACTAAAATAGTTTTTTAGCATAATTAATTGCTTGTTATATGGGATTAGGCAAACCCATAAAAGTAAAATTGGAGAATACCAATTTCCCCCACGGTATTTTTCAATCCCACATACATGAGTTTGTTTAATCCTATGTAACAAGCAATCTTTCATGCTAAATACTATTTTCTCAATCTAAATCACAATCTATGTCCCTAATTTTCGATGCTTAGTACCAAACGGTACCTATATCTCCTCTTTGTCAGAAAGTTAGTTTGCAGATATAGTAAGTTTTCTCAGATCGTTTCTCTAGGTTTTCATTGCAATGTCATATGGTAGTATAAATCATTATGAGTGAGAATGTTTTGTTCATATAATAAATGTGAGCAAGGAGGTGCTCTGCTATGAGATACTAAAAATAAAGGTTTATATGTTTGGAACAAGGCCTCAATTAGGAGATTCTTGTCATAGGATGCAGGATCAGTACCAGAAACTGGAAGAAGATAGTGTTTTACGTTTGAAATATTTGAATTTTACGAAAAGAGATAAGTGTCGATGTATATATATATTTTTTGGGACAGAGTTGATATATACTTTTTTTGTTGAAATTCAAATTTTTATGTTTATTCTTTTTCTATCATCTTTTTTTAAATACGATGCTCATGCATGCACATTTCCCAGTTCCCATACACTACAAAAAAACATTGAATCACCGACAGAATTACTGACAGAATCAATTCCGTCGCAAAAATCCGCCGAAAAACTATGGGAAATTTCGTCAGAAATATTACTGACGGAATTTGCCACGGAATTCAGTCGGAAATTCCGTCGGTAAAATAATTTTCCGATGGAATTAGCCATGAAAAAATTCTGTCGGTAATTTCCATCGCAATTCCGTGGCAAATTCCGTCGCTAAATTTACTCACGGAAGTTTGGACGGATTTTCAATGGAAATTATTGACGGAATGTTGTCCGTGGCTAATTCCGTCAGAAAAGTGAATTTCTTTTCTCCAAAATTTTATATCTTTATTCTTATAATAAAATGCAGTGATTCTATTTTTTGTGAGGTGAAAGACTACATTATGTAAGAAAAAAACAAATAAAAATTTCGTAAAGGAACATAGTGAAATTCTAGAAGTGTGGGTGAATCATAATAATTCAATCTATGCATTTGATTGCCTTAAGTATGAAAAAGTAAAAATTACTTTTTGAGTTATTGGTTGATTGTGACTATTTCAAATTAACTGAATATTATTGATCATAATATAGAAGAATAAATGTTAGAGACAAAATTGAATTTTAATTTACTAATCTTGAGATAATATCATATGAAGAATATGATGGGTGCAAAGCAAATATTTACATGGAATCATGTATAACAATATTGCTAACTTATTAGTATTTAGTTTCATAAAACTGTAAAGAAAAACAAAATTCTCCTACCAAATATTTAACATATAGTTTGAGAATTTAGACTCAACAATTTTGATTAAAAAATTATAAGTCTTGTTAATCAAACAAAATGCTTGATGATTTGATTGTACATGATAGTAATTTATAGCAATCCTTGTTAAAATGTGAGAGATGTATGAATCCTAAGCATCATCTTTTGTAATTTATTCATGACAACATTATTCTTCTTTTTTACTCCACAACTTCATGTAATTAGATATTGTCAATAGTATATTATATATAAATATATTATCTATTTTTAAAAATAGATGGACATTTTTAAACTAAAAAATATCAAATCATTTCAAAGGATACTAAAAAATAATTAAACTGGTATTTGATAGATCATAATTTAGAAAATTAATATTAACAACTGTTTACAAATAATACAATTAGAAAGTTCTACTATAACATAAAAAACATATATTTAACGAATTATCCCTAGTATAAGTTGAACACATTGATCTCAGTTGGAATATATATATCCTGAGAAGAAAACGTAAGTCACCATTAAGTTTATATTATTTCACATCTTCATTTATTTTATTAATGTCATTCTAACAACATTTATAATGATATTTTGTATAAAATTGTTATTAGGTTTAATCCTGCTGTTGCTACTGTGCGAAATATTCTTCATGTTATTCAAGAGAAATTTGACCATCCATGTTCCAGCTGGAAAGCGACACGACCTGAATATAAGAAAATGTGGTTTGATGAATGGGCGGTAAATCTTATCTGTAATTGTATTTGTTTTATGTCTTCAAATTTTTCCTCTCAACATGTTTAATTTATATTTTTCTTTTGTTTCTCATTTATGCAGCGAAAATATAAATGGTGTCCACAATATGTTCATGCTATTAAGAAAATTTGGAATGCAAAGTGTGCAGAAATTTTAAGAAATACAATGCACACTGTTAGGCAAGACTTATATCAAAAACAAATTAGGGTTAAGTGGATTTCACGTCAAGTGATGACCAAGCTAGAGAGAATATGGGCATCAGAAGATTATAAGGCTAAGTGTGAGATTGCTAAGGCTAATCGAGCTTCAACTACAGGAGTCACTCAACACAAAGGTGGAAGTATTCCTAATACTAAGCATAAGAGGAGACTGGTAAGAATTTATCTTCAAATTAAATTGTTATTTGTTTAATGTATGTATAATACATCTTCGTAAATAATTGCAGGCTTTGGAGTTAGGAAGAGACCCTTCTATGTTTGAATTGTTCAAGAGGACACATTTAAATGACAAAACTGGAAAATTTGCAGACCAGCAAGCGGAATTAGCTCATGTGAGTATATGTTTCTAATATTTGACATATTATTGGATCATTGAAATTGTGCTGACGGCCTAACTAGTTGTAGTGTGAGCCTTATTGAATGTTAAACATAAAAAATCAAGGCCTGACTAAGTTTCACAATGAAATGTTAAATCTGACCCCAAAATTATATTATCTTCGGTTTGACTCTCACTTGGATCTTCCACTCTTAAAACTAAGGTTATTGTCATATTGTTTTTTTTTCCCCGACCTGGAAGACTATTATTGCCTTCTTACTATGCTCTTTTTGACAACGTTACATGTCACTTCCACTATTTTTTTCACATAAAACCAAAAAGTAGTTTCTTTCATATCAGATACATTTATAAAATCCACATAGTATTATTTGCCTTTTAAAAGTCCCCTTGTTTTGGACTGTGACACTACAGGCTAATTTTCTATTTATTACGGTTTCGTATATTAATAAAAGTTGAATATAGGCATATATTTTGCATGGAATGTGAGGTAACTCATTATATATATCCCTGCATCTCTTTGACGAGTTGTTTTTTTCTTGAGAAAAGTATTTATGATTCTATGTATATAAGTCACTGAGTAGGTCATTTCTTAAAATTTTTTTTAAAAAATATTATCCCTAGTATAAGTTGAACACATCGATCTCAGTTGGAATATATATATATATATATATATTTCCCCGATCCACTTCTGATCATTAGGCAATATTCTACCACGCGGGATAGACCATATAGGTTTATATTTATAGTTCTATACCTAAACCTCTCTAATAAGTATATTGCCAAAAACTTGACTTCTTTAACCAAGTAAAAAAAAAAAATGAAGTGTTTTTACTTTGTGTATTGACTCTTGGATATTGTGTTGCAAAGGCACCGATATTGGGGTAATGGTTACATAGAAAAAGAGGAAATGCAAAAGTGGTACCTATATATTAACTATATATTAATGTCCAATAACGTCGGGAGCAGTGTGTCAAACTCACGCAATGTATTTTATATATATATATATATGCATATTCTATTATTTTTTATATATATAAATGCATATTCTATCTTTATATCAAATGTTTGGTGGATATAGCCTTAAAGAATAAGTTCTAAGCTTGAGAAAACCCAAGCTTTGAGTGAAGAGAGTCTTGAAGTTTGATACGGTGTTCTTTTTTCAATACTATTAAATAGTTCTTCTGGATTTTAAATATAGTCTTTAGGATTTTTTATTTTCAGTTTTCTAAAAAATCATTTAATGAAGGTACAATATCTTTCCTTTCGTTTCAAAACTTCCATGTTCAATTCTCTTCCCACTGTCCATTCATTTGGCCCTCACACCCAATTACTTATAGGAACTTCCTATACCGTGTTTTTTTTTTGGGGATAGAATTGGTGAATATGTCATCATATGCTGGAAATTAATGAATTATGGTATCTTTTTTTATCCTTAGTGCAATTTTATCTTTGGACTTGACTTGATCTGGTTGTTGTTGGGATTAAGTTGAGAAGAATCTTACCTTCCATAACATGCACTTATCATATACTCTTGTTGTCTTTTTGTTTTATAGGATGAGTTCATGAGAAGAAAGGCAGAACTAAGTTCTGAAAGAGGCTCTCCAAGCGTGCAATCTAATCAGGAAGAATTTAACATATGGTTAGATGTTATAGATGGCAAGAACAAGAAGGGCCGCATCTATGGATTTGGTTCTGAGGTTGATGATGATATTTGTACCCAGACATCTTCTCCTTCCATTAACAACACAAGTATGAATGCCAATGTTGAAACTAAATTGCGCATGAGGATAATGGAGCTTACACAGGAGAATCAGCAAATTAAATAGGAGCATCAAGAGATGAGAGAAAATTATAACAAAATCATATCTGCATTGGAAGGAAAGGGAATCAGACTATCTGAGCCCTCTAGCAGCAATATAAATTTAGGAAATGATAGTTGATAGTTGTTATTATTATTTCTAGCTTTTACTTTACACTTGACACTTGACATTTGACATTTGAAGAATCTTGGATGTGTGAAAGACTATATATATATATATATATATATATATAATTATAGCATGTTTGATTTTTTGACAAATTCAATTGTCTTTCATTCCCTCTTAAAAAACAATTGATCAAATTAAAATAGCACAAAATAAAAAAAAATTTGACGAAAAGCAATTTTGCCACGGAAGTTGTGACGGAATATTCCATGGTAAATTCATGGCTGATCAGCCACGGAATATTCTGTCCAAAATTTCATGGCTGATTAGCCACGGAATATTCCGTGGCAAATTCCGTGGCTGATCAGTCACGGAATATTCCGTCACAAATTTTGTGACGGAGAAACCCGTCCAAATTCCGTCGGTATTTTTCGACAGAAATTCCGTCAGAAATTACCGACGGAATTGGCAATTTCGTCGCAAATTGATTTAGTGACTGAAAATTTTTTGACAGAATGCATTCCGTCTGTAATTCTTGTCCGTCGCAACTCCATCAGCAATTCTGTCAGTAATTTTGGCTTCCGTGGGTAATTCCGTCAGTAAATCAGTGTTTTTTTGTAGTGATATTCTCTCATTCTTATATTAGAATTTGAAAACAGAGAGATGGCATGTGGAGCCAAGAGTGGAGAAGGATGGTATCCTGACACTACATAACACAAAAACCCAATTTCTTTTGCAGATTATCATATGGTAACATAGAACGGAAACAGATAACAGGCACACGCCACAACAAATATAAATAAATAATATAAGAATTTAAAAGGCGTTTGGTGAATCAACACTAGAGTCACCATGTTTTTGAAACTGAGTTATTGTAATAAGTCCGCATTAGGTAGCCTTACAAGTGTTGTGCAGTTTATAAACATTTTTTTTCTAATAGACTAGTGTTTTGAAATTGAGTTGTAAACTTGTAAATACTAATTAAAAGTTACAGACCAATTGCAATTACAACGTCTATTATCCAGAGAGAAACCCATGACTAACAGAAAGGATTCTCCCTCCCGACAAACTAATCTTTTAGATTAGGCTCTGTTTTGAGTTTGTGCTCACCACAGTTTCATTTTCTTAAATAATAGAACTTAATATTTCTAAGAATTAAAAAACAAAATTAGAAAGTATAGCGCTCATGAATCATGAAGCTGTAATGTAATGTGACGAAAGGCCCAGAAAGACACAAATTAAATATGAAACAGGAAGAAAGAACATAAATCAGGGACGTGGACAGAAACCTGCATTTTCCACTTCATGTGATAGATCGGCCATCAGTTCTTCACGGCGGATCTGCATATCCTGAGGGTTTTGGTGTGAGAATATGAGAAATGGAACTCCAAATGGTTCAACTAAATAAACTCTGCATTTATTTATTCCGAGGATATGAGAGCCACATGTTCTTAGATATCCTTTCTATTCTTACACTGTTTGAAGAAAGCCAAAGCGTACGATGGGGTAGACTTTTCAACGTGCACAAAGTCAGTGCGTTCAAAATGATAATATTGATGATGAATAAGATTATTAAAAATATATTTAATTTGTTCAAAAGATAATTAAATAACGAAGTTTAAGTAAACATGCTTAAAAATTTTGAACTTAAAAAAGATTGATTTTTTGTAAAAATGTTGGCTACCTAATATATTTGTTTTAAAAGATTACTAAATGATATTTTTGTTAGGAATGGTAGTTTTGCCTGAAAAGTTGCGTTATATTAAATGAGTTACATGTTATTAATAAGGTACAAAAAATTAGACCAGACATTAAACCAGTTAAAAGTTAGACTGAAGTCAATCCAGTAATTATTAAAATAATATAATTTAATTAAAATATATAAATATTCATATTTACATATGGAAACAATTTAATCTTACTTAAACTGTCTCCACATTCTCTATATATATAAATTCTTTCTTCTTTTCATTTCTCTCTGTTTTTTTTTTTTTAACTCCTTCATGTGTCACGTGATCCACTCTTATGTTTTCTATTTCTTTTCTTGTTTTTTACTCTCTCCCTTACTTTATAGGTTAAGTGTTTAGCTTAGAGGCTGAAGGCCACAATGATAGGCTTTTCTTCTTGCCTTAACTTTTCGGTTTCCAGAATCCAGCAGTGTCCCTCTTCGTCTTCATTTATGCGTGTGACCCATTCTGATAGCTTCTATGATTTCTCCCTACGTAGATCTGGTTGGCTCTGAGCAAAAGAGAACAACGATGAAGGAATAAATATGGTGGAGCAACAATAACTGTCTTTTTCCCCTCCTCCTTGCCTTGGTCTCCTTCGTCCTTCAGATCTAACTCCCTTCCTCCGTCCTCCTCCTCTCCTTTCTTTTTTGGGGAAAAATATAAGCAACACAAAATAACCAGCCAAACCAGCAAGTTACCACGGTTTTCATCGGGTTTTCTTTGGTTCAAGGCAAGTTATACTGGGTTGGTCTTCCCCCGGCTCAGGAGATGAATCAAACCGTACAACTGGTTAGTTCATAAATTTTTGGTCTGAATCGGCCCCCCCGGTTTTTTGGTCCATGGTTATTATGGACAGGTGGATAAAATTTAAATTTTAAAATCAATGTGCATGCATGAGATAACTTCTGATTTCAAAAGAAGTTTTGGGCATATTCTTAAAATAAAGATAATTTCTCTTTAATTTAGTATAAGAGAACTACTGAAACTAGTTACCTTATTTTATGAAAAGTAAGCTATTCATAACTTTCAAATGATGTTTTTCAAATTCATCTTCGGGAATTCATGGGCATTATTACGTTGCATAAGATCCAAATATTTTTTTGAACCAAAACTTTTTTTTAGTTGAACTTGAACCAAAAGAATAATTGACAAAAAAATAAATTACTTCAAAACATTTATATTTATTGTTTTTTTTAAACTAATTGGACTGATTTATAAACTGATATATAATCTAATGATACATATAAGTATCTTAAAAAAATTATGTGACATATAATTCTGGTGATTGTCTCAACTATTCTGATGATTCATATGTTATATAATTAAGTAATTTAGTAATTTTTTTATTAGTAGTTAACCGAACAAGATAAAACATAGTCTGTTGCATTGGGTTAGCGGGTCTAGTGTGGCGGGCCCATCTTCATAAATAGCAGTCAATGCGTACGTCATGATGTAATTAAGATTCCAAACCCCAGTTCATCTTTTGAATCGAAATAAATATTCTAATGTGACATTTTATTTTGGTTATCCTCTTCCACCCCCAATTGAAAATGCCAAAGTTAGTTAATTGATTAATTATTATTCTTCTGATTCTTAATATAACAACTATTTAACTAATTTAATTATATTAAAAGAATTAAATAAGTTAGTTAATTATAAGAAATATTTTTTCTATCCTAAATATGAAACTCGTTATTACAAAACGAGTTTCATATTTAGAACAAAAAGTATGATATGTTTCTTTTTAAAACGCGATAATCATTTTTAAAAAATTGATAAATATGATAAATAAGTTTATATTTAAAATTAAGATTAATTCAATAATTAGGTCATGTTTTTAAGGATAAGAAGAATATTTAATCTGTAACTTACTTCATTAAAAGAACCGAATGTCTTCTGATGCGGGTACAATATTTAGATGTCAAAATAGAAAGCAGCTAACGAGGGACGTCCTTAATTAGCAGCACCAAATTAATCAGATTGTTTCCGTATCCACTAATTGATGTCCTTTCTTCCATGAATTCACCAACCAGAAGCAGAGTCAGGGTGACTAACTTTAAAATTCATTTAAAAAATTTAGAATCATTGAATCAAACCTAAATGGTAATTACGTTTTTTGGCCGAAAAAGATATTTATTCATATTAATAAACGAAAAAACCGTTCAGGCATCACCCGTTACAAGAGGAATTAACCCAGTTCTGTCATTGCTAACCAAAATCTTAAAAAGAGAGCCTTAAATGGTACAACCTAAAAGGAAAAAAAAACAAAATATTATTTTTAAAATAATAAGATAAGTTATTAAAATTATTAATCATTATCCATGACTTTGATTCAAATAATACTCCTCCAGTTATGATGGAGTTGATATTGATCTTATATATAAAACTTACTTCATACGTTTTTTAAATTTTTTCAAATTAACTTTACTAATATTTTCTAACATAATCAAGTAGGAGATGTACGGAGGAAATTAGGAAGATGTTTAGAGTATTTTAAAAAAATATATATCTTATTATTTAATTTAATTAATATTTTTAATCTACTCAAATTAATTAGTTGGGTCTTACATTAAAAATTATTTTGCATTAAAATAAAGGTTCAAAAGACGAAAAAGCACGTGGACGCAAAACAGAGCAGGGTCAAAGTGTATACATTCAAAACATACAAACAAACAGACCAGGGTCCAGGCATAGTTTTTCAAAAGCGATTGAAACGTGGACCTCTCATTTCTTTTTTCTTTTTCTTTTTTCTTTTTTTGATCTGGCCATTATTCTTGTTACGAAAGAAAGGTCTTTGCAGGGAAAAATACAAACTCTGTTTTGTTTTCTTTGGATTATCTAGTCTAGAATATTAATTAATATTATCTTCACTCATTAATATAAGATCTATATAACTAATTTAAAATTTTTCAAATTTAAGTGACTTCTTGAACTTTTTGAAATTCAAGTGTCATTTTTTGAAATATTCCCAAAATGAAAAAGAATTAAATTA